GCTGTGTTTGTCTCAACTCTACCATTAACCAACTTGATAGTAAGACTATTGTACAGTTAAATTGGACTTATCAAATACAACAGTAGTTGCATTATTGATGTTATTGGGCTTGGTTAAAAAAAAGAACTTCCACAATACACTTAAGAACAAGAGGCACCAATGCACATCAGGTAAATTCTTTATTTTTGAAATGATTATATTCGCAAATGTTTATCCCCAGGCCACAGCTGGGGCACACTATGTTTTAAGCCAGCTGGATCAGCTGGATCAGGAAATTCTTTGATTTACAGTTTCTGTTGCAAGAGGTGCTGGATGCTCAGATTCCTTGCAAATCAGTGGCACCTGCAAGGTGGGAGTGAGATTGTGGGGAGTGGAAGAGAAGATGAGCAGAGTGGGGCATGCAGGTGGGCTTCTTTAGTAAGAGGGTGATGTGAAGTTTAGCACGTTACTGGGTGGTACGGGGCACAAAGCCAATGCGTGAATGTCATGCATTCAATGTTTGATAGGGACAGTTTGACTAGCTATGATTTATGAAGTTTCACTTACTGATCTTGGAAAGCAGATTGATGGCCCATCTGGTGCGTACCTTGGATCATAGGTTCCAGGACCAGGTGTGGGACTGCTGGCCTTATAAGGCCGCTTTGGGTACATGCTGCAAGATGGAGTGCTTTGCCTACTATTTACAACGTACGCTCCTGGCCCTGGTATTTCATCCACTTGCCTATCTGTGAGCCTCTCTCTTATAGTGAAGCTTGAAGATCGAGTTTCTCCCTTGGGCGAATATGCACCAGGGCCTGGGAGCAGATCTGGAGCTTTGTTCTTGAGCTGTCCATACATAGTAAAGGACGGCGTTGATGGTTTTTGTTCAGTCATATATGCTCCGGGTCCGGGTGAGTCACTGTCTGGCGGTGGACTGAACCGAAAGGGCATGGTCAACGCCGGTCCGTCGAGGCTGGATGGTGAAGAATATGTTCCAGGGCCCGGTGTCTTCTCCACAAGAGTTTCACGGAACTTTTCTCCTAGAGTGAAAGCTGGCGGTGATGGGCTACGAAGCTCTTCTTTGGGGTGGTACGCTCCCGGCCCAGGAACATCGCCATCAAAATTTGCTGTCTCACGAGGCTTGCGCCTGATGGTGAAGGAGATTCCTCGTTCGGAAGTGATCGGGTACGTGCCAGGTCCAGGATTGGCCGTTAGTGCAGGTGCCCTGCTTCCCAGCTTACCAGCGAGTGAGAACGCTGACAAGCCCTTCCTTTCAGCCGGCGAGTAGGCTCCAGGGCCAGGAGTGTCGCTAACTTTGTAATCCTGCACTCTGGTGCCAAATTTATAAGCTGGAGCTTCTGACCAGGGGGTAGCGATCGCATCCATGTAGTCACCTGGTCCAGGTGTTTCCTGCGCAAACTGGTTATCCCCAGTACGGATGCCAAATGTGATCATGGGCTCCAGTGCTGCCGGAGCGCCGTAGTGTGCGCCAGGACCAGGTGTGTCGAGCGCGTTTGGTCTCTCTATACGGACTGCCATGCTGTACTTTGGACCGTCGTCATCTTGCTTTGGGCTGTAGGCTGCAGGGCCTGGCGATCGGTTTGCCTCCTTGCTGGTAAACTTGTTAGCCATAGTGAATCCTGGTGCATCATGGAGCGGCTCAGGGCTGTAATGTCCTGGCCCTGGACCATCGCTACCCTTTTGTGGACCAGACCACGCTGTCTCAGTTATCAGCACATTCTTGCAAGTCTCATATACAGGGTTGGGATTGTACGCCGCAGGACCGGGGCTCTCTTCCATCTTGCATGATGGCAAGCTTCCACCCAATGAGTAGGCTGGCGCCGCTGGCGAGCAGAGACGTGTACCAGAACCAATAATGTAGGAACCTGGGCCGGGAGTTGGATCTAAGGGCCGTGGCTCCACTCGTGAAGCCATGGTGTAGTGAGGACCATCTGTGGTGGTTGTTTCCAGATAAGCACCAGGCCCTGGCGTTTCTTCAGGCTTTGGATCCAGTATTTTCTTTCCAATGGCATATGAAGGACTGTTGCTCCTCCTGTTTGCTTCATAGGCTCCAGGACCAGGCGACTTGTCAGGTTCCGGGTGCTGTAACTTTGCGCCCAGTGAAAAGGCGACCCCCGTGTGCTCGGGTAGTGGATATGAGCCAGGCCCGGGAGTCTTATCCAAGAGTGGTGTCCTGGGACGAGCTTGCATGCTGAAGCTTTGAAGGTCCTTGCCGACGTTCCCTTTGTTCACCGTGTATGATCCTGGCCCTGGGTTATTAACACCCCCAAGGTGGGTGGCAGCTTGCCTCGACGGCATTGTGTAAGCCGGTCCTTCCCGCTTGTGCTCAATGCGGTAAGCTCCGGGCCCCGGGGTCACAAACAGTTCTGGAGCAGGAACAGCTCGACCACTCAACGAAAAAGCTGGCGCATTCGATTGCAAAATGAGTGCATAGGCTCCGGGTCCGGGTATTGATGCGTTATCTGAGTCAGGCAAGTCATATCTGCCCCGGATGCTCGCGGTGGGCCCCTGCCTTGGTCCGGTTGTCTCGTAATCACCAGGACCGGGAGTTTCCTGGTCATGCGGCGGGCTGAGTTTGTTGCCAATAGTGACACCAGGTTGCTGTCCGATTGCTTGATAGGCAGCCGGATAGGAACCAGGGCCTGGGGTTGGGTCTGCCGCAACGTAGGTTCCTTTGTTGCTGATGGAGTAGTGAGGTCCAGACGGGGTACATTTGATGTTGTAATGGCCGGGACCAGGTTGTACTGGTATATTTGTCTCTTCAACTTTTGCTCCCATCGTAAATGATGGTGACGAAGCCTTTGGCCAAACTGAGTAGGCACCAGGGCCTGGTGTTGAGCCAGTGAGCTTAGGCTCCTGGCGCTTAGAGCCAATGATAATGCTACATGGTGGTGATGAGAGCCTGGAGTCGGACGTCTGATAGTGACCTGGGCCAGGCATGTTCTCTGGCTTGAGAGGTGCCTGAATTTTCTTGCCAAAGGAGAACACTGGCGACATGGGCTTGTTGGTCGTAACTGTGTAGCTTCCGGGCCCTGGGTTGCCTTGAGTGGGATCTGGAATGCACGACAACTTGCCAAAAATTGTGTAGGCTGGTCCATTGGTGACACTGTCATGGTGATAAGCTCCAGGTCCTGGCAAGCTCTTGCTGTCCAACCTGTTGACAATTGATGACCTGTCTCCCATTGTGTAGGATGCAGAGGAGGAAAATGACTTCACTTCATATGCACCGGGTCCAGGGAACTGGTTTCCCCCTGGCCTGTTGGTGAGGCCACCCAGGGTGTAGGATGGGCCAGTTGGTGTATAATTTGATGACCTTGCAGATGGAGTTGCAGAATGATATGATACGCCCAGTAACTTCGTGGACCTCTGTTTGGTGATTATTTTGAAAGCAGGGCCTGTGGCGTCGACTTTATAGTACCCTGGTCCAGGAGTCATTAAAGTGTTTTTCACTGGTTGCAGCTTCGGTCCAATGGAACAGGAGAGCTGTGAAGCAGCTGCGGCTTTAGTGCTGGGGTTATAATGTCCGGGGCCGGAGGCCAAAGGAGCGGGGTCCCTGCGTGCTGACAATCTCAAGTCAGGAGCCCTTCCTTTCTCTGAGGAAGGACACTGGTCTTGTGAAGGGATTGAGCGTGCAGTGCTGGCTCTAGATACTGGTGCAGACGCAACTGATGCACCACCCCGAAGTTGTGATGGCTTTTGCCCCAGCTCTACTGTGTAACTGGCGGCTTCCAGGTTATTGTCAAGGTGCCAAACTACGGGGAGTTCAAGGGAGCTGTTCTTGCCAGAGTTGTGAGACCAGCCAGCAAATTGAGATTCAGGGCTGGAAGAACTTCTGCTAATGTTGCCATCGTTGCCGTTCTTTAACTTGTGGCCATGCTTTTGTGGATCCAGCTTTATTGTTGCAACTTGAATATCTCTCTGGGAATGGTGACGAGAACCTGGGTTTTTCGATGATCGGTTGGTGCTGCAAGTGCATGAATAGTCCAGTGTTTCTGGATTGGGACTGCTGCTCTTTGTCTGTTTGCTGCTAAAGACGGTCCCTCTTGTGGAAGTAGTGTCGAGAGGAACACGGTAGGTTCCTGGCCCGGGAGTGATAGACGTCTTTTTATACACCTTCTTCCCCATTGTGAAGGCCATGCTCGTCGATTGTGACCTTGGAGAGTATTCTGCTGGACCAGGGGTGGGTTTTGTCGTTGGCTCGAATCTTGATCCAAAAGAGAAGCATGGCGATGCGACCCGTCCGACAACGCCGAATGGGGAGAGATCGTAAGAGCCAGGCCCGGGTGTTTGGCTGGGTTTGGCGGGAATCCGTGCATGGATTCTGAATGCCGGTCCGTCCTGGCGCTTGTGGACGTGATAGGATCCTGGGCCTGGCGATTTCTCGCTGGACTCCTTAATCTGTAACTTGCTGCCGAATGTGTAGCCCGGCTCAATCTTTCGCCTTGGAGAAACGCGTGGACTGGAACATGATTGGCCATCGGGCTTCTTCATTCTAGTATGCTCCTTCTGAAGACCTGCACACCATGTGATGGATTAGAATGTCAGTGCGGTGCAACGGTCATACACACCGTTTTGAGGATTGCAAGTGCGATGAGGAGTGCTTACTAAATTCCTGGGTTTTGAGAGTGCAAGAGATGCTAGTGATTCCACGTGGGACGAGGAGTTTAATTAGATTCTATTTTTGTATCTTTCACAAATTTCAGATCAATATTTTCTAGTTTCCGTGTTATCTTCTAAATTCCTTTCATAGATCTGTGATCATGCAGAGGCAGCTTTCCGGACAAAGGGAATTAGATTCTCGTTCACCATACCTGTTCAATTTTAAGCACAAACAACCACTATAATCTATAGACAACACAAAAAAGATCACATTAATCTTAAGACTGGAGATTACCTTCTTACATTAACCAAGAATCTGAGAGAACTATTTAAATTTTAGTCCTTTAATGCATATCTTTATTTATCAGCCAAGCGCATATACTGTTATCAGACTTTTGGATATGGCAGTTGCCACGCCGCCAGGGTTCTACGGATCTCAACGTGAGGGTAAGGTGCGTACCTCCATTGCTCGACTAGCTCACTCTTCAACAACTTACTCCGAGTCATGCAACAACTGATGGGACTAATCACCTCGTGGAGATTTGCAACATTGGTTTGTTTCTTGTTCTTATTTCTTCCCTTGGCATTGAATTTAGTTAGAAGACCAGAGATAACCAGTTCTCTTCTATCGATAGCTGATGGGGGACCCATCCGGCCATCAAAGCAGCTACATCTATTTCGATTCGGATAGCTCCACACTGCGAGCAGATTCATTCTCAGATGGAATTCTTAGGTGCAAGGGATGTAACTATATTCTCAGCGCAGAGCACGTCACGGCATGCAGGTACTGCATGGGTGACTTGAACACCAAAAACAAGAAGCTCAGGAGTACACTTCATGAATTGGAGGAAGAACTGCTAAGGCTGCAGCGAGATCTCAGTTTTCTCAGAACATGGGATGAGGAGCTCACCAATAGCACATCAGGAACTGGTGACATAACTCTGAAGACTAGAGATGGCAACTTTTTTAAGGCACATCAGCTTATTTTGGTATATCTTCCCATTTCAGTGGCAGACATCTAAATGATTACCTTGTCAACAGGCAAGCCGGTCTCCAGTCTTCAAGAGGCTCTTAGACGAAAGGCGTGAGGTAGACAAAGGGGTGCTCACAGTCCACGACATGAATCCAGACATATTTGCTCCGTTTTTGGACTTCCTCTATACGGCTCAGGTTAGCAACAAAGTGCTGGAAAAGAATGCGTCAGACTTGCTAGCTGCAGCTCATATGTACAGCATTCCCTCGCTGAAGTCCATATGCGAAGGCTTCATATGCCAGCAGATGAGTCGAGATAACGCTGTCGCAATGGTAGAGTTGGCCTGCAAGTATGACGCGGTAAGCATTCGAGAGGCAGCCTATGATGCGGTGACTATGACTTACAGAGACATTCTTGCCTGTCCAAATTTCAAGAAACTTTTGGAAAGAGAACCCCGAATTGCGGCCGATATGCTTAAGGAAATACTTCTCCGGACAACAGCTTAAAACAGACAGTAGAGCATATTAATGTATATATGTGAATCAAGTAAATACAGAAGCAAACATTATGCGACGTGCATTTTTCTTTGCATTGAGGTGGTAGTTATATGATGTCTTTTGGCGCCAAAGTTAAAACCCAAACTCTAGGTTGGCACGACGTAGCTGCTAAAGATGAGCAAGGGAGCATCCCCGGCTGGAAAAGGACCTATAATATCCAAAGGAACTCCTGCGCCACCTCGTTCAAAGGATGGCAAGGTGAAGACGCCAATGAATTTTGTCAACATGCTCATTCCCTCGTACAGGACCCTCCATTGCCTTCGTTTCCTATCACCTGGACTTCAATGGGGATGTGTGTTGAATGTGTGGAGCCCTATCTCAACGTCACTAAACTGATAGAGTTAGTAAACGCTGCAACACTTCCAGATTTGAGTGTCACACTCGTTGACGCTCAGGAAATGGCTGAAGAGGTAATTCTATATGTATCAGCCCTAGACCCAAACATAAGTGCAGGAAATGTATGTCGAAGATTCTCAACTTGGAGCAGCTTTAAAGGAAGCCAAAAAGGTGGGATTTATTGCACCGCAGCGTTCAATAAAGGTCGCTTTGCAGGATTTTACTGATAAAAAGAAAGAACCTTTGAAGGAGAACTGGGTCCCTCCAGAATCACTCTCACAACTTCTAGCTGGTAGCTCTACATAATACAGTGATTTGAAAATTTTCAAGTTTTTCTGTTCAGTAAGGTCAAAATTGGACAATGACTATGAGCACAGACAAGAAGAAATCAGAAGAGACATTGCATTGTCAAAAGCAAAGAAGGCTTTTGAAGTACTCTTTCTTGCCAACATTTAGTTCATTGTTTATTTTTCTTTCAGGACGCCAAATTAGCTGTAGAAGATGCCGAAACTCATTTAGCAGCCTCAAAAATTGCAGTCAAAGACTATATAGAGCAAGAAAGGTTGCGAATTAAAGCTGAAAAAGAAATGAAAGATGCGGGGAAAGAAGCATCACCTGAACCAAAAACCAAAGCGCCTCTCACCAAAGGTAGGTTTTCATAGTTATACAAAGCCATAACATTCTATGTAGGCAAGGACGCTAAAAACAAAGAATCGGTGGCTCCTATCCTGGACTTCAAAACCGAGCTTCTGAGATTAAGACAAGTGGTTGCTGACGCAGAGAAAAATCTTCAGGAATTACAACAAAAAGTGAGCTATTAAAAAAGTCACTACTTCCAAAAACATGCTTATTTCTCAGGTAATAGAATGTCAATCAACGGAGGCTACAACAGAGTCATCTTTACTGTCTCCATACGTCACAGGACGATTATATTGGTGCCTTATTAACGCAGCAAGCTCGGAATATCTTGCCAGCGTGGCTGCAGCGGAAAAGCCCATGTTTGGTGCTCTTTTCTATATTGCTCCAAGATATATATTGCCACCTCAAGAAGAGCTGTCTATCCCACCATTGCTGGATACTACACCTGTGCTAGTTTCCGATCTTAGGAAGCTCAGAGAAATATCTCAGCTATTCGAACCAGCGAGAAAGGTTGCCATTGTCGACGTACGCTATGATAAAGTGTCTGCTGCTCCAGTGGAGTCCTCTTCGGATCAGAAGAAGGTCAAGGACAAAAAGACCGATAAAAGAGGATTAGTTGATGATACCTCTGTTCCGTACGACACTATTGCAACAACTTTATCCGCAGCATTTAAAAGTTTTCTTATTCAAGTCCAAGACTTTCAAGAAATTCGGAAGCATGCTGTCGATGTTAGCGTTCCAGATGCGGTGTCAACCAAGGTTGAGAAACTGATCGTCTTAATACTTCTAATCCTACAAGTAAATGCAGGAATTGGACATGTCACATTATAAAAAGCTTATATCATTCGTTCCAGAAGCCATGGTTAGCGTTTCTATAATCTTACACTGCATGCTCGAGCAAATCAGTGAAATGCTACTAGCCAAATTGGAAATTAAAAGCACATTTTGCAGAAGCACAGGGGAGGTGATTAGAGAAAGCTTTAATAGGACGGGTCATTCTGGCAAAGAGGATTGTCCAGTCACGTGTTCGAGTTGTTGTCAGTGTTATAGATGCCTAATAACAAAAGAAGGTCCGGATCCGCTTATAGTAGTGAATGAGGGCGACAAAGTGGGCCTTCTTACTGCCACAATGCTTAAAAGCAAGCTTGAATCAACGACAAAATGGTCTGCCGCCGCTGCACTTGATATTGTAGAAATCGAAAACCAGATGATACGTCTCCTTCCAACTCCAGGTTTGTTTGTTCTTTTTGCGCACCCCTATAATAATGTCAAATTCTGATTATAGGACTTAACAGAAGGGGAATGCCTACTAAGGCAGGGCTAGGGAAGGAAAGGAAAGGAGCGTTTGCAACTGCTCTTAATTCATCAAGCCATGGATTCTTTTCAAAAACTGAACGTTTCAGAAAATTGGTAGCTTTATTCAAATAACTTTTCAAAAATTAAGAATTTATGTTTTTTTAGAACTTGTTTTCATCGATGTTTCCTGCGGAGGATATTGATGCAAATAGTATTATTAACCGTTATCAGATAGAGAGATTGCCTGACACGGTACTTGGTCAAGTTTTCTCAAACGCGAGACTATCTTTACCGTTTCAAGTGATGCGGTACGACCAAGATGATGATTGTGTCCTGTCAGCTTTATATGTCAAAGAAGGAAAGCACTTGTGGAAGCACCAAATTAATTGCCAGGCATGTTCATCCTCAAAGCTTATCCTTGTTGCTTCTATTAATTGC